GAAGAATGAAAGGGAAAGTCAGCCCTGGGAGAAAAGGGGCTGACAAGGGAGGGTCTCAAGAGTCTGAAACCCAAAAGGAATGTCATTATGTGGGTTCACATTTGCATTTGAACCAATGCTGTACATCCGGTTTCAATGAAAAGTACACATTTCAAGTTTGCTCATTCTTCACATCTAAGTTCAAAGTCCAGCTATCAGGAGATTTCTGTGTTTAATAGTGCCATTTTCAGTTTTGTTAAGACTCTCATTCTGTTCTCGTCCTGAAAGTAGCATGCTGCAGATTGGCAGCAAGCAAATTCAATGTAATTTGGCAAATAATCTTTATAGAAAGGCTATCCCAGCCCTGTGAGTGAGTGCAGTACTGGACTCCTGACCTAAGAACCATGCAACATAATGGGGGAGACTGAAATAAATTTAAATAGTTATAAGACAAGACAAAGCATGATCAATGCACTCAAAATTGGTGGAAACAGCTGCATTCTTGCTGAAGGCCCAGGGAAGGCTTATCACAGAAATGTAACAGTGAAAGAGAACTTAAGTGGTCATGTGGCGGGTGGGGGGGATTCACATCTGGCTTTTATGGAAACTTGTAGAAATACAGATTCATAAGGCATTATTCCAACCTTATGATTCAACCAGAATTTCTAGAGTAAAGGGTTTGGAAATCTGGATCTTTCAAAACTCCCAGTGATTATGATGATCAGCTAGGCTTTGGGAACTACTGAAGCGACAAATTCCCTACCCAATGCTAGAATCCCCTGAACAGTGTTCCTTCAGAGTTTTGTTTAATCTCTTCTGGAACAATGCAAGCTCACCACCGCTCAAGGCATCCAGCCCTTGAGAGATGAAGGGTAAGGATATGTCAGAAATAATTAGGAAATAGAGGGAGGTAAGTTTGGAGAGGAGACTTGGGGTTTCATGATGCAGTGATTTGAATATCACACTGAAGAATTTCAACTTTATTCTCTCTGAGATGGAGGCCCTTGATAGGATCTTGGTCGTCACTGGGTTTAAAAGCCTGTTGAAGCACAAAGGGAATCGAAGTTTAACCCAGGAGTTCAAGTGACCCAAATAAGGACTTTAGGTCAGAAGCAGCAAACAGCAATGTGGAGGAAGTCTAAGCTGTACTGCAGTTCAGCCCTACAAAGCTTGACTGATTGGGGACAAGGAAGGGTCAAAGCTGATTCCGGAGTTTTGAGGTCCTAGAGTGCTGAAAACGTGAAGAAGAATGGGAACTGCAGGATCAAGAGCAGGTTAAGAAGACAGATGGCTGCCCTGGCTGGTGTGACTCAGTGGGTTAGAACGTCGGCCCACACATAAAGGGTCCCAGGTTTGATTCCTGGTCAAGGGCACATACTTGGGTTGAGAGGTTACTCCCAGCCTATGTGGGAGACAACCAGATGATGTGTCTCTCACATCCATGTTTCTCTCTCTCTCTCTCTTTCCCTCCCTCTCTCTGCAATGGGAAATATATCCTCAGGTGAGGAGTAACAACAACAACAACAAAAGACAGATGGTCAATCAGGCTTTTGACATTGGTAATGCATTGGTTTCCATCACCATGCATCCCCCTGTCACCTGTGTCAGAGCAGAGCTTAGTTATGACCCCCTTTGTGAAATCAGAGATGGGCCCTCAAAATGTCTGTTGACTTAAAATAGTCCTTCTCCTCTCAGGATCCTCTCTGCTTGAATTTAGGACCTTATTATTTCTCACTTAAATAAACATAAGCCTGAGGACTGCTCCACTCATGCTGCTGTCTTTGTGTGAATTAGAACAGTACCCTTTTTGAGTTTATAAATTAGAAAAAGTGGCTTTTGTTTGGGTAGAGGCAGCCCTTTGTTCAGGGCTTGGGCCACAGAGCACACCTTTGTGGGACAATCAAGACTCCCCTTCCTGTAGGATGAACTCCCTGTCCAGGATGGAGGGCTCAGGGAGCTGAGTGCAGGGGTGGGGGACCCCACTTGTTGCCTCAGCTGGTACACAACCTCCTGGATTGGTTTCCCAGATGGTCTCTTTGATCCCTGTTGCCATTTCTATTTTACACAGAGTGATTTTTTTTCTAAAATACAATTATATCTCATTCTGCCTCAAACTTTTCCATGTTCTCCCAATGTCTTCAGATAAAGTTCCAATTCTTAACTAGTAACAGAAGTCCATTCGTGACAGCTTTCCACCCTCTTCCTGGGCCACTCTCCTCCGCTTCCTCCTCTCCACTCACAGCTACGTGGATGAGAAATGCACGAAGAAATGCTTGCTGGCCCAGGCTGCGTTTTCTCACTCCCTGCCGGGCAAGCACTGTCCCTCCCACTCCCCCAAAGGCCAGATGGCTTCTGGCTTTTCTGAGGTTTACTTGACTCATCTCAAGGAAGCTGCCCTAGTCCTAATATCAGTCTGCATGGGATCCGCCCCCGGGTGCCCTTCTTCCTGCACAGCCACCTGGAGCCAACACTTCCCTGGCTCTGACCTCCTGGAGGACTGAGAATATGGTCTGCTCCTGTCTTTTCCCTCAGCACTGTTATGTAGGCACCTGGCTCATCCTTGTTGAAATGGACAATGATTTAGAAACAAATGAAAAGTACAGATTTTAACACCACCTCACACCAAACAAACAAAATAACAACAAAAAACCCAAAATCAAAAAAAGTTTTTGCTACTTTCTAAACAGAAGATATTCTGTCAGTTGTTGAAGCCATTTTATTTTCCCTACTTTTCTGTAGTCTTGAAAGGGGTGTACATTTAGAGACTCATGATCTTTGGAAAGGAAACTGCTTGAATGAAGTCTGAGGCTTCCATTCCAAGGCTGGTTTGCTCGGGTGTGTCTGTGTATTTGACCTTTGTGAGATGCTTTAAAATACTGCCCATAGATTCAGGGAACATACTTGATCTCTTTCAAAACATGCCAACTTTGAAGATGGAGGACTCTGCCATTGCTCTAAGATGGAAATGCCATCAGTGGTTTCTCTGATGGTGTTCCAGCTGCTAGACCAGCCCAATGATGAATTTTGAAACACTTCCCTAGTCTATCCAAAGGTTCTAGGAACTTTCAAGTCAATTTGCATTTATTTTTCTGTGTGCAGTCCTTGTCTTACCACAAAGAATGTGAAGAGGCTGTGAGAATGTGTTCAATGAAAAAACAAACAATTAAATGTAAAGTATTACTTAAACTTCAACAAAAATTACAAGGAGGCAAAATATGACAATTGGAGACTGAGACATGGGAGATGAGAGCTGTGTCTTAGATGTGTCCGCCCAAATGTTGATATACTTGACACTGTGCTTCCTTGGGATAACATCCAAGTGGAAATTCATTCTGTAGCACGATTTCTCACTGTCTATAAGGAAATACGGTCGTTGCCAAATTTCCTTCATAGAAGCTATGTTAACAGTGAACAGAGATGCTGCTCAGGGCGTGAGTCTGCACTTTGTAAATGTGTTTTTATTTTTTTTCAACCTTTGGCCATCATTTAAAAATATTTTCTTTGGTTTTTAGCACTAATAGTTTTCACTTTTTTTTCCAGCTGGTTTCATCAGTTTCCAATAGCATCTTAGCTTTAAAGAATTTTTTTTGCTGTGATTCTTTTTTTTTTCTATTTTTAAAAAATATATTTTATTGATTTTTTTACAGAGAGGAAGGGAGAGGAATAGAGAGTTAGAAACATCGATGAGAGAGAAACATCGACCAGCTGCCTCCTGCACACCCCCCACTGGGGACGTGCACGCAACCCAGGTACATACCCTTGACCGGAATCAAACCCGGGACCCTTCAGTCCGCAGGCTGACGCTCTATCCACCGAGCCAAACCAGTCAGGGTTTTGCTGTGATTCTTTTAGTGTTTTAAAATAAATGCATAAGTACTTATCAACTTTAATATTTACTATCACTATTAACAATTCCACAAAAATTGAGCTCTACACACTGACTTTTATTTCATTTCCCCCCTTCACACCCTGCATATTACACATACTTTGCTCATGGGAATGATCATTTTGAGGTAAGTTTGATTTTTAGTTTTGGCTTGGCATCTATGATATAGTGTCTCAGTTCCCTTATCTTTCAGGCAAAAACTTGAACTTCTGAAAACCAGTGCATCCTCCAAATGCAAGGCATAATGTTTATCATGAGGGTATTAAATCATGTTTTAATTGATTAATACTATAATAATAAATAATAAATGCACTTTTCTTTTTCCACAAGCTCTCTTTGGAATATGTCTCCTATCCATTTTCTCTAAGACTAAATGCCTAAAACAACTCCTATTGTTGACATAAAAATATTACTCCTCCCTTCTTTCTTTAAACAGCTGTTTAGTGACTAATGGGGAGCTCAGAGGGATACACTTGTCCCAGAAGAGAGAGAATTCTGTCTTAATCAGCCCCTCCCCATCATCCCTTGTCATCCAGGACAGCACTAGGCTTATTACTATGTATTCAGTAAATAGTTGTCAGTTTGAACTTGACATTATAAATGATTTTGCCATTTATTTCAGTGGTAAAGGGTAAGTAGTGTCTGTCAATTGATAGAATACTCTTATTTTCCAAGTTCCGAGTCCACCCTTGACTTCAAAGAAAGGAGCAACCTTCAAAGCTTTTTTGAGTCTGTTCATTCATTTGTGCACATTTGGGGAGAAAGTAAAATGGAGGGGGAAAAGTCAGGATACTCTTCTGCTTCTTTTCTGCTTTGCTTAACATTAACCATCTAAATGTTTGCTAACTTCACCCGAAAGGATCAAATGAGAAGACCACAGAAGCTCACTACATGCTAGCTTATTTATTACACTGTAATGGAATACAATTAGAGGATCTCACTCCTTTATTTCTACATGATCCGCCATCCTATTTTCTTCTTTTCTCTTTTTTTTCACTTTGAGAACGATTTGTGTGTGCTTCTCCCTAAAATCTGTAGGATGGTTTCAATGCTTAGTTTCCAGCATTTTCCTTAAGTTATCTTCTGTGATTTAAGGCACCTGGGGGGAGGGATAGACGAGCTTCCACATCAACGGATGATGCTTTTTATCTTTTTAAGTGACCCACAGTTTGGTTACTGGTGCAATGAGAAATTAAGTGCACATTTCAATGACTGCCATTTCACAGTCACTCAAATCAGAACTGGAATGCCACAAAAACAACTCCCTGTTAGCCCAGAGAAGAAAAAAAGAAGAAAGAAAGTAAAGGGGAAATTCAGATTAGTCACAAAGAAGTTCCCCGCCTGCTGCAAAGCGGCAGTGTTAAAACTGAGAGAGTCCGCTCTGCTCTTTCAATTGCCTCTTATCTCTGGTCCTGCCACCTCTGTGGATTTGCTGATTGATACGCCTGGTTTTGTCTTCAGCTCCTTCTTGGCAGGGGAGACGTCAGTTCTCTCTCAGATCTTCCTTTGGCCCAGTTTTCATCTTTGCTGTATCCAGACTGTGAAGATGGAAGGGGTACAACCCCTGGATGAGAATGTGAGAAACGCGCCAGGTCTGAGATTCCAGACGCACAAGCTCATGCTGGTGGCCTCTGTGGTCCAGGGGCTGGGGCTGCTCCTGTGTCTCACCTACATCTGCCTGCACTTTTATGCTCCTCAGGTAAGATGCATATCCGGCACCTTGTTGCCACCAGCTCACGCTGATGGCAGCTCCAACAGCTGCAAAGGGTCACTTGGAAAGAATCTGATAACCAAATTGTCCAGGTGTTTGTTTTTTTTCTTCCCCCTTAGCAATTTTAAAGTGTGGTTAAACACCCTCTGGTCTCCTTTTTCCTTCCCTTTTCTCAGTAGTGGCAATGGTGGGGCACGGTGGAGGTAGGGCAGGGGCGCTGCTTCTGGATTATTCTTTTTCTTTGCAATGCAGGAATACTGGTATTTTTTTATGAGCCGTCATTGAAGCTTCGAGTTTTATGAAGCTTCAAGTCATTGATATACCTGGTTTACCTATTTTCTTAGTTAGTGTCTGATCAGGGAATTAATATAAAAAGGAAATAAGAATGAGCTCAGTTCCACTTTGCCATTGTATTCATAAAACCCACAGACACTCGTGGACATTTGCTCCTGCTTTGCAAAGAATGCTGAAGGTATCAATAGTAAGTTCTTTTAAATAGCTAATAGTTCTTTTAAAGGCAGAGATGTGTGTGTTCCGTGCATCCACGCACATGGCCAAACATTTACTCCAACAACTTACCCCGATATTGATTCTCACAGCCTTTCTCTACCAATCACAACGTACAGACATCACTTTGTCTATTTTATACTTTATCCAATATATTATGTGGTGGGTGCATCTTTCTAGTATTTCCCCCACCTAATGAAGATATTCCTTGCAATCTCCCTTCTCTTTATTCTGATCCCCTTTATATTTCTTTTTTCTTATGTATTTGTTCAGACCTGCAAACATTATTCAGTCTTTAAGGATGTTCTTGACTGCTGGCAACTCCACTGAAAATAAATGCACAGTCTGCCCATGTTCCCTTGTTGAGGCTAGTCTGATCATACTGTTTCCCTGGCGGGTTGCTTGAGTTTAGAAAAGTCTGTCCCTGGTAAAGATTAGACAATAGGAACTTCTATTTCTGATGGACAGGGCAGAGTCTGAGTCTCTCAAACAAAACTAGGATAAGACCAGTGGAGTCCTGGCAGACGCCTGGGCTTGCCTCTGCCCACCGGAAACAGGGGTTTTCAGTGCAGAGAGGCTGGTGGGAGTGTGGTTGTGATCACTGTACTGCAAAGAGGGCTCACATCCCCCGATTCCAGAAGTGTAGCAGGTGTCATGTCATGCTCAAGTCGGCAGACTGGCGAGCACAACACCACACTCACCCTCTACTCATCATGCCATGCCTTTCTTTCTCTCTGCAGAACCCTTTGGGTGCAATTAGAATAGGCAATTTGGGTCGCAAGTGTGGGGGCGGTGCAATGTGTCCATGGCAGGGTGCCTAAGACGCAGACCGGAATTAGGCTCTTCCGAGAAGAAAACAAAGAGCGTAACCAAAAATAGAACAGCTGAGTGCATGCACCAGGTCTGGGAGCCCTGAGAGTGCTTTTTCAAATAACCACAGTGTCACAGACACTGTGACGATGAAAAGACAGGACAGATGGCTCCAGTCAAGACTCAACTAGGGCTGTGAGTAGGAGAGAGCCAAAGGTGAAATGGATGCATATAGCCCGCTGGTGGCAGAGTGGCCCTGGACTAGAAATACCCAGGGGATGCTGAGAAGGAGAGGGGTCTTTTCTGCCAAGTCACCCAGCAGCTCTGTGATAGAGCGTGGAAGAAAAGCTGAGTGCTGGTTTCCAGGACACTAGAATTCATGGGGAGCATTCTTTGATCCTGGTGCAGAAATGGAAGCAAAGACATAGGAGGTACAGTAGAGCTGGTGGCTCAAGAAAAGTGCTATCATATACTCTGGATACGGAATTTTTTGGCACAGATTTGACACGAATTTTAATTTTTTCTTATTTTTAGCTAGACTGTTTTAGCTAACATAAATATCTCATACTGTTATAGGATGCAGCACAATGGGTCCTTACATTTAATCTCATATACTTTATTGGGGGGGGGGGGGAAATAGCACAAATAGAGCATATATATTTCTCCCTGGAACTTGATGAAATGGTGGTCGTGGCAGTGTGTGTGTGTGTGTGTGTGTGTGTATGAGAGAGAGAGAGAGAGCGAGCGAGCGACATTGAGAGAGAAGGGTGTAGAGTAGCTGTTGAAAAAGGGACACTTTCTAAACTCATTGATAAAATTGTTTGGAATTTTGGTTGAAGCATTGGCTAGATGATGATGCAAAAACCCTCTACTTTTATAAAACAATATTGCAGTGATCTCTAATATTGCAATGAATTTCCATTTGGGTGTTATCTCAAGTGAGCCGAGTACTCATCACTCACCCAGTTAAGTTGGATTTTTTTTTTGTAGAAAAAAGATACTTGGAGAATAATCATAATTTCCCTCATATTTTAGATTTAATTTTTAGCCTTATAAAATAATTGATTATATGAAAGGCTCTGTAAAACACAGATGTAACGATTAAACTCCTTGGGCAATTAACTTTCCCCTCATCATTCCATGACATTAGGTTGATTTCTGTGCACAGCAGAAGTTCTCATTTTGGAATGTCAGAAAAATAAAAGATAGACTTTTCCCTCTCATATAAGTCACTTCCCTCTTTGGGCTTTGATTTTCTCATGTGTAAGCAACTGGATCAAATGATCAGAAAGATCTCTTCCAGCTCAATATTCTATGAATATGTACTTTATACATATATTCAGAGAATGGAATGAGATTTTGAGAAATACAAAATATAAGTTAGTAGATTTTTGTGTCTGAGATAAATTTCCTGGTTCTTAAGAAGGGGTGGAAGAAAATCAAATTTGCATATATATTTGTAATTTATGCTTATTTATATGCTATGTACATATCTAAATAACCTGTTATGTGTTAGCAAAATACCCTATTTAGAAGGAGGAAAGAAGGAGATGCTAGAACAGCTGTGGGCAAACTACGGCCCGTTTGAAATGAATAAAACTAAAAAAAAAAAGACCGTACCCTTTTATGTTTACTTTGAATTTATATTAGTTCACACAAACACTCCATTCATGCTTTTGTTCCGGCCCTCCGGTCCAGTTTAAGAACCCATTGTGGCCCTCGAGTCAAAAAGTTTGCCCACCCCTGTGCTAGAAGAATATCTATGGTACAAATTATAAAACTGAGCCCTTTTGTCACCAAAAACAATACATGCTCTTTGGATATTTATTTAAAGTATTAGGCTTCTAGTTTTACCTATTACTTAGCTTGGAACAACGGCAGGAAAGTAGGTCAATTTACAAATGTAATTTACACATTTATATATATATAATTTTTATAAATATAATTTATAAATTTTATTTGTGTATCTCTGGACTATTGCGGCTGGGATCTTCCAAGATTTGTATCACCCTCATCACAGCAATTTATAGATGTGAGGCTTTTAATGATAATTCTTTAGCAAATTTCAGTTGAAGGTTTATATTCTCAACACTTTTACTGCCGGGTAAAACGGAAGTAGAGGAAATTGTTAAGTGAGCTGACCAGATCTGATTAGAATTCACAGTTTCTTGATGAAGGCTATAACTTGGACTTTTGTTTGTATTGTTTAGGGAGAAAAAAGAAGCTTTTTTTTAGCCTGAAAAATCTTGTCTCAGATTAACTCAGTTTAAATGTATCCCCATGTAATCTAACAAGAGTTTTAGAAATTCCTTTTTGAAAAAAAAAGCCAGACATGCAAATAAATGATTTTCAATGCAAATGAATTTACATTTCATAAGCAATTTTATGGTAATAACAAAGAAACATCTGAAGTATTGAACTGATTTGTCATTAAGTACTTGGAGGCTCTAAAGGGGGTACTAATAATAATGTATAGAATCATTGCATTTTTGAGTGGGCATTACACATAGTCTACTTACAGTTAAGAAAACCAGAGAGGGTAAGAGCTGGGAAGGAGGTAATGCTATAGCTGATATTAGAAGGAAGAGTAAAAACTCTTTAAGTAGACAAGAAGGATGGTAGTGATTGGGAAGGGGGTAGAAGGTTTTCTAGATACTTGTTCAGTTGATTGTTCAAAATGGTTGAAGTTGAGTGTTCCTAGGGCAAAATGGTGGAAGGTAAAGCTTGAAAGGGCTGTGACTCATTCTAGGGAAACACTTCCTTCCATTACATGCAAACACACACACACACACACACACACACACACACACACACACACAAAACCAGGAAAAATTACCCAAACTGCTGCTTCTCCAAATTTCGCTTCTGTTCTGTGGTCTACATATTTCTATAGATAGAAAGTGAGTCTAGCCCTGACTGATTTGGCTCAATGGATAGAGCCTCAGCCTGCGGACTGAAGGGTCCTGGGTTCGATTCTGGCCAAGGGCACATGCCTGGGTTGCGGGCTCGATGCCCAGTAGGGGGTGTGCAGGAGGCAGCCAATAGATGATTCTCTCTCATCATTGATGTTTCTATCTCTCTCTCCCTCTCCTTGCATCTCTAAAATCAATAAAATATATATTTTTTAAAAAGAAAGTGAGTCTAATCTCATGCAGCACTAGGGGGCGCTACAGTAAAACTAACCATTCTCAGATGGCTTAATGAAGCCTACACTCTTAAAGAGTCAAGATAAGAAAACCTTTTTTGAGAAGCCAAATACTAGACAGTTATAAGAGGAAGAACAAGGGAGGCCTCATCTGATACTTTATAAATGAAAAATTTTGATATAGTACTGACCCAAGTTGAAAATAGGATAGAAAAATTTGTACTGGGATCATGCTGGAAATGTCACATTTGTCCGAGTATGGAAACACACACACACACACACACACACACACACACACACACGAGTTCGGGATATAGATTTAGGGATATAGTCTCCCGATTCCATTTCTCTGACGTCAGCCCCTCGTTATAGGCACAGAGTAGACCCAGTCCTGCCTCAGGGCTAATCACCTGCCCTTCCAATCCTACTTTTTTTTTTTTAATAGAAATTACTTCTGTGTCCACTTTCAGAGAACCTGTACTCTCCACTCACGTCAGGGATTCTGTCTGCATCCATGGAAAATTAA